GGCCCGCGGGAGCTCACCTCTCTGGTGGACCAGGAGCTGGTGGAGGTGGCCCAGGCCCTCCAGGCTGGAGTGCTGGGTGGCCTGGTCGGGGTCCTGGCACAGAATCCCCAGCATGCCCACCAGCTGCCCGAGCCGCTTGAAGTCCTCTTTCGGCTGCAGGGAGAGTGGGGACCGATGGCAGAACCCACCCACGGAGCCCCCCGCCCCGCCCTCACCCCAGCACCAGGGTCGGGCGCCTCCAGGCATGTGGCCAGGCTGGGACTCAGCTGGGGTGAACTTTAAGGGGTGGCCCACACACGCAGAAAGCAAGAGGAATCACATTTCACGCGCTATTTAGAAAAATCAGCGTGACCAGGAAAACCCCATCCGGGAATAAGCTTCAAAACTGTAAACAAAGACAGCGAGGGACTCTCCGCCCCCCTGAGGGCGCCTCACTGGTCTCACCCGAACCCCAGACCTGGGTCTCAGGCAGCCGGGCCACCGTGTGCGGAGGTGGTCGGTTAAAACATCGCGTTTACATGTTACTGGTCTTGGCTGCAGTGTTTTGGCCCCCCCAGAAGTGTTGCGCCCCAGGCGAGCTCGCCTCACCCTCCTCTCGGTTCTGCGCTGTGGAAACTGATTTCGAGTAAATTGAAGCCACTTTGAACCCATCTGGAGGGGTCCTCCTCCTCCTCCTCCGTGTGGGGAGCTGGCGGAGTCCCCGCACTGAGCTCCCGGCAGAGCCCACCCTGCTTCCCAAGGCCAGGCCCAGCGCCCCGCCTTCCCGAGAAGGCGCCCTCCAGGCATCAGGCCCAGGAACTAATTTCCTTATCTCCCCGCGAGGCTCCCTAAGGAGTTAGTGCTGATTTTGGCTGATAGACCAAGTACAACTCGCTCCCTGAACACGGGCTGCTGTCCATTCAACCCGGGGGCCAGCGCCACAGATGGGGGTTCAGCTGGGACCCAGGAACCGATGGGGGTGGTGAGGGACGGAGGGTGTGGGATGGGGGTGCCCCGGGCAGTAACTGCTAAGCCTCTTCCGGGGCAGGCCGCACACCTTAGGAGCACTTAGCGTCCCCCACTCCATGCGATCCCCGCTGTGTCCCTCCGGGGAAGAAACTCAACTCAGGGTGGGGCTTCCAGGGGCTTGGACCCGAGCCCAGCCTCCTGGGTCAAGGGTCAGGGCGCAGCCAGGCGGACTTCAGAGTCCTTAATCCCCCCCAGCCTGCTTCCTCCTATGAAAAGAGGGGTCTCCCTGGCCACCGCAGGGCACTCAGGGACCCACCCCGTGTGGGTGGCAGGGCACAGGGAGCTTGAACCCTGAGAGCTCTGGCAGGCTCTGGGAGGGGCCAGTTTGGCTGGGACGGCAGAGGCGGTGGGGCGTGGGGCCCGGGTACTCACGTCCAGGTAGAGGTTATTGCTCAGGAATCTGAGGAGGCTCATGCAGCTCTTCACAGCCCGCTGCCGCTCGTGCGCCTTCTCCGACGCCAGCCACACATACAGATGCTGTGGTTGGGGCGGGCAGGGAAGGGTGCTGCAGCCTGGGACCCAACTCCGGCCAGACTCCGCCCTGCCACAGGCCCCGCCCACCACAGCAAGGCCCCGCCCTCATTCCCTACCCCGCCCACCGCAGCTCAGGCCCTGCCCCCTGGCAAGGAACTGTCCTATTTGCCAGGCTCAGGCTCCGCCCACCGCGGCTCAGGCCCCGCCCCCTGGCAAGGAGCAGGTTTATGAGCCAGGCTCAGGAGACGGGTCCACCTCGTCTCCTCTGGGCCATCCTCCTCGCTCCCCCTCGGACCCAGCCCTGCCGGTGCCCGCCCCGCACAGCGCCCCCCACCTCACCGACAGCAGGAAGTGCAGCTCCTCCGCCGTGGGGTTCTGTGTGATGAAGGTCTGCATCATCTGGTCCAGCGCCTCCGCCGTCTGGTTGTAGAGGTTCTGTGTGGGACGAGACACCGCCAGGTGGCACCACGCCCGGTGGGCGGCTGGAGGCGGAGGCCTGCGCGGGGCGGCGTGCTTTTGGCCTCTCAGTGCTAGGGGTGCCCACTTCCTGCAGACCCCCGGCCGGGCTGCCCACCCTACTTGGCAGATGGTGGGGCTGGGCAGGAGGGCGGTCTGGCCGGCCCAAGGGCACAGGCTTCCCCGTGGCCGAGGCAAGTTCCTTTCCCGCAGCGCTGGCTCCGCGGGAGGGCAGCGCAGAGGCCCGGCCTCGGCAGGCCTGCGGGTGCCCCCCACTGCTCTGCCATCGCCTGCGTGGAATTCTTAGTGGACTTCAAACACGAGCCCTGCATTTCCACTTTGCAGGGGTCCTGGCAAGTCTGCATCTGGTTCCAATTCTTGGGTCCCCCACACAGGACCCCACTCTTTACCGCTTGGTTCGCCAGGGCGTGCTCAGGGGGAGGGGCCGCAGGAATGGCACAGCCCACCCTCCATCGGAGCCCAGAGGGGCAGAGCCGCCACCTCCCTGGGTCCCTGGGGAGCTCCCAGGCCTGGGAGTAGCAGGGGCTCAGTTAGCACGAGCACCCTTCCAAGGCACGAGCAGCAGGCAGAGCTGGACCCCTGCCCGGGGCCCCTGGGAGAGGCGGCGGGCGCACCTGGATGTTGGGCGGCTCCAGGAAGAGGCAGGTGTGTTTCTCCAGCACGTCCAGCAGCGGCAGGGCCAGCACGCTGCGCAGGCAGACGGTCAGGAGCCGTGACTTCTTCTCCAGGTTCAGGGGCGGCCTCAGCTTACTGTGCGGAGGACAGAGGTGGTGAGGGAGGGCGCGGGGCTGGGATGGGAAGGGGCATCTGCCAGCATAGCCAGGAGCCCGCAACCGGAGCAGTGCCTCCCCTCCCCAC